TGCTAATTACAAAAAAATTATATCAAATATATTAAATATATCAACTATCTCTACTATCGCTAATATATCTAATTTCTTAACTATATTAAATATTTGAAATAAATCAAAGAAATCAAAGAAAAGAAATATATTACAAATATCTCATTTTTCTCAGATTTGTCATTTTTAGGATCATAATTGCATAGACTTATATGACCATGCAATTTCCCTTTCACAATATCCAAAAACTATTAAAACAAGTAAGGGAAATGAAAAAAAGTTACAACAAACCAGAACCAAGTGGGTATGGCAGTCGATCAAAGCCCACAAATACAAACAAGCAGAGTTGTTTCACATGTGATGAAAAGAGCAATATTGTTAGAAACTGCATCAAAAAGGATTATCCAGCAAATGGATCCAATCAGATTAATAAAGTGCAATTTCTCGACATTTAAGATAACAAAAAAGCCAAAAAAAAAAGTGTATGCTGGTGAAGATCGTGATGCAAAAGGAAAAAGAAAGGAAACATTAGAGCCAAGTTTGCAGTGCTGACTATAAGAAAGTCACGATGAAAAAGAAGGCCATCAGAAATTGAAAAGATGCCATCCTACAAGATTCTAAAAGATATTTTTGTGGCATCTACGAATGTCACGATTGGGTAAATACTACAATTCCAGGGCCCAAGGGAAATATTAGCAAAGGCAATGTACAGACCACTCATTGAGATGGAAACAAACTATATTGTGACAAAGATAAAAGAGAAAAAAGAAGTAAAAATGGAAGAAAAGGAAAAAGAGACAATGGCAATGAGATGTCAAGTAAAAATCAAGGATACTAGAATAGAGGCTGTTATTGACATGGAAGTCACCATGAGTATTATCTTAAAGAAATTGATGGACCAGCTGAAACTTAAAATCGATGAAAATCAACAACAACAATAGTATCTATTATAGGTACTAGGAAATATTAATAATCTAAAAATATCAATACAAGAAACATTAATCCTGACACCAGTACAAGTGGCCAATTCCAAGGATGAGATACTGATTTTAGAAAATAACTGGTTCGAAAAAGTCAAGGCAAGAATCTATATTGACAAACAAAAGTTAGTATTGAAATACGAGGGTTGAAAAATCAAGGTCCCGATTACCAATGACAGAGCAAGAAAGGTGCTTGCTAATGAAACTGATGATAATGAACAATATAATGAAGAACAGACTGATAAACTGTTAGATGAAATCATATATGAGAAAAAAAAATAAAAGAAAAAGAAGAATATTATATGGGGAGTCACATAGTGATTCAGATTCCAATGATGACATGCAATCTGATTCATATAGTGACTTAGGATCCAATAATAAGACAAGATCTAAGAGATCAAGTCTCACCATATACTTCGCCCAGGTCAGAGAATCATTGCCACCAGAAAAGGAGAAAATAAATGAAGAAATGAGTATTAAAAAAGACAATAAGACAAGCATCATTATGAAGGAAATTCAAGCGAAAGTATTAGAAAAATCAAGCCATATTAAGGATAAACAAATCATTAAGCCAGCAATTAATTTTAATATTGGCACACTCGAAGAAGACTTTGTAGCACTGATTGAAGAACTCCCAATACCAACGTAGACTGCATAAGAGGAAAACATAAAAGAAAGATTGAGAAACTGGAGATAGATACTAAACTTGAAGAGAAACAGTTGGGACAAATAAAAGACATGTTGAAGTAAGAGTATAACATGTTTGCACAATTTGTATCAGAGTTGGGTTGCACCAAAATCGTCGAACACAAGATCGATACTGGTGAAGCAAGTCCAATTAAGCAAAACACCTACAGAACTATCCAGACATCAGAGAATTTATACAAAAAAAAATAGCTTACTTGAAGGAGCAAGGATTAGTGTGAGAATCGAAAAGCCTATGGTCATCTCCAATAGTTGTAGTATCAAAAAAAGGTGAAAAACTTAGGTTATGCATAGACTATCGAAAAATCAATGCAATAACAAAAAAGAATGCCTATCTTACTGTTAGTAGACAACCTAATTGAAGCATACACTAGTATATAATAGTTTAGTACCATCGATTTTATGTCAGGCTATTAGCAAGTAAAAGTGCATAAAAAAGACAGGGAAAAGATGGCATTTGTTATGTTTGCAGGGATGTATGAGTTTACAGTTATGCCATTTGGACTGTATAATGCACCAGCAATGTTTCAGCATCTGATGAACACGCTGCTACTTGAATTCATGAGAAAATTTGTAATGGTTTATCTGGACAACATAACTATCTACTCTAAAACAGTGGAAGAACACTTGATACATATCCAAGCTGTACTAATCAAGATAAGAAAGGCCAGACTAAACTAAATCCTAAGTAAATGTGTTTTCTTTCAGGTGTATATAGACTTCTTAGGTCACATTATTGGCAAAAATGGAGTCAGATCCAACAAAGCTAAGATTGATAAAGTAAAGTATTTTTCAGTGCCAACAAATATACATCAGTTATGTGGATTCATTGGTTTTATATTATATTACCAGTAATTCATTCAAGAATTCTTTACAATTATGCAACCGCTATACTATCTGACAAAAAAGAATATTAAATATAAATGACAAAAGATTAAGATCAAGCCTTCAAGCAGCTGAAATAATATCTCATCATTGTTCCGGTTCTAAAGTATCTGGACTATAACAAAATGTTTTATGTACACACTGATGCATCTGGGCATGGCTAGGAACCGTGCTGGCACAAAAGGATGTGAATAGTCAGGAGTATATGATTACCTATGCCAGTCACAAATTAACTAAGCACAAGCAAAACTATGCTGTAACAGAGTTGGAGTGTTTAGCCATAATCTAGGCAATTAAGCATTTTCAATACTATTATGGACTGAAATACTTTATAGTTGTTACAGATTACAAGACATTCAAGTGGTTGCAAACATCTAAACTAACAAGAAGACAAACAAGATGGATTCTCCAGTTACAAGCTTTCAATTTCACTATCGTATATTGCAAAGGCAAGAAACATAGCAATGCTGACATGTTGTCTAGCCTCTAATACTATACAACTTTACAAGAAATAAAAGAAAGAGATAAGGGAAAGAAATAAGAAGATGAAGTAGCTAAGAGAATAAAAAAAAATCTGAGGAACAAAATCTAGTCCAGGTTCCATGTCCTGGCACGTGCATAAAAAAAAATGAAAACAGAACATTATAACCATTTCTGAAACTATCTTCAATATCAAAAAGTTCTAATAACATTTGACACAAAAGCAAAACATATATTGCAACAAAAGAGTAAAAGTTACATGTTTAAAGATGGTATCCTTTACTGAAAGAATAGACAAGACCAGGGTCACTTATTATATATGCTCCAAAAGCACAAAGTCAAATCTGTTTTATTTCTAATGCATCATTATTCTTTGGGCAGACATTTTAATAAAGATACAATGTTTACAAAAATTAAAGCTAGCTATTACTGGCTGCAAATGTATAATGACATATACAATTATATCCAAAGCTGTAACCAATGTCAACGGTAATTTAAAATGCATATGCCAGATCCCTTACAACCAATACCAATCTTGGTGCCATTTTACCAAATTGGCATCGATTTTATAGGACCTCTGCCCTGCACCTTTAGAATAAAGAAATATATCATTATTGCCATGGATTACATAATGAAGTGGCCGGAAGTATTTACCACTGAGAAAGTAGATGCATCCACCATAATTGACTTTATATATAACAACATTATTGCCATCATGATTGTTCTAGAAAAATCATCACAGATTGTAGTACTTACTTTAAGAACAAAATGGTGCGAATATTGTTAGAAAAGTTCCGAAGTAAGCAGAAGTTTATAATGCCATACCATTTACAAACTAATGGAATGGTAGAGCACTTTAATCATACTTTGTGTGAAGCCATAGCCAAGCTGATACAGAATATAATCAATTGGGACTTACTGATTCTGTTCATCCTCTTCACCTATTATATATCCAAGTATACTACAACAAAAATATCATCTTTTTACCTCGTCTATAGGCATAAGGCTCGCCAATCAATACATACAAGTGCAATAGACAAATTATTAAACAAAACCATACTACAACAAACGTATAACTTAATAGAGCACCTACTTAGAGCAAGAGCAAGAATTGTGGACCGAGTAAGTCAATATGAGGGGTTTTTCAAGTCCTCTCTAATACTTAAGTTTTTTTAAGGCTGAGGCATAATAATTTGGTCTGAGTATTGTGAGGGTCCTTCAAGGTCCTCTCTATTAATTAAGTTTTTAAGGCTGAGGC